TCCTCTTTTATACGTGTTTTTGAGCGCGTTCGTATGTAAATACTTTAGAGGTGGGAGGATTTCCCATACCCCCTGGCTGCACCTCTAGCGGCCGCGCAGACGAAGCCATGGCCATTCCACCAGTTCCGTCACTCGGGTGACGGAACTGGTGGAATTCGCCTAAGAATTCCACCAGTGCACCACCAGTGCGTATTCCACCTGGTGCAATTAGCCTACGACGATGTTGCGACGTATAGGCGCAGCAGTTGTGATGCGAATGTTAGCGCTTTGCTTAAAACCATGAGAATCGTTTCAGCTCCACTGGTCGGCGACCTTCAGGTGACGTTGGGCCATAAGCCGGGGCTGTTTTACGGACATAGTTACGAAAAGAAGTCGTCTGGGTTACGAGTGAAAAGTGAAGGGAAGAAACGCGGTGTCTCGCACTCAACTCTTTATACACGACTGCGTAATCGGCTGCTTTAGACAACACTGCGAAAGCTACAGAAACGAAGCGCATGTCTGGTATCACGCCGAAAAATAGAACATAAATGCAATGATAATTTTCTCATTTGCTAAATGAAATAATTCTGCTTTATTTATGAAACTTCGACAGTTGCAGTATGTCGCAGGTAAAATAGTAAATTGTCCGCGGTGCAAGAATAGCTTCCTTTCAATCACGCCACTTTTCCTACGTTAGTATGACGTAGTGGTTCATGTGCGGTTGCAAACACGCTGTTTAGTTCAAGAACATCATCATCAGGTTGAGTACGCCCATTGAAGGGCAAATGCCACTCCCATGATCTGTCAATCAACGCGGTCTTGCGCTTTCTGCGGCCACGTTGTACCTGCGACCTTTTAAAGACGATAGGCTTTCTCGGGGACATTCGACGCAAAAATTTTGGTCTGTCTGTACATTTGTCTGTTTGTGCGCCCTTAACGGTACACTAAACAACACCAGACGATACCCCAAACAGCCGACTCCATCCGCAGCACTCACCAGTATCGCTCAAGATTCGGCGTTCATACTTGTGCGATTGTCAATTAAAAAAATTGCCCGCAGCTTCCCTCGGGGAACACTGAGGAGGATGCGGAGCATATAATTGGTTAACGGGGTGTTAAAGTGCGACTTACTTGGGTCGATGGCTAAATTGGTTAACGGGGTTGTGAAATGGGGTGTTAAATTGCGACTTACTTGGGTCAATGGCTAAATTGGTTAACGTGGTTGTAGGAGGGGTGTTAAATGAGTGAACACGTACGACACGTATGCGAAAGGGCGGTGTTTATTTAATGCGACGAACTTTGAGCACGATGGCTTTTTGGTCGGTAAAGTGAAGAGTGAGTGGATCGGGTTGCAGCGGTCGTAGGTCGAAATTCGCAAAGACGTGGTCGATGCAGGTTCCGCGAATGGTGGTCGGCCGGTGGTGTTTGCAGTCGTCGTGCGTTGCGCGTTTCAGCGAGTGTCGCGACACCATGTATTCGACTATCCAATCGTCCTTGATGACGTCGACGTTGAAGTCGCCAACTAGCATGAACGGTCGATGTTGCGGTTGTTGTTTTCTGTAATCTTGCACGGCCTCGTCGACGTACTTTTGTACGGCGGCACGAGAGAGGTTTGGCGCGAGGTACATAGCGGCTTCACGTTCTCTAAGTTGAGAATCTTCCGCTCGACGCCGACGTTTACGTTCGGCGTCGCGAGCTCTTCTCCGCGCTGCCTTGTCTTCGGACGACGACTTGGTTGCGGTTCCGCCAACGCTTTGGCCGGCGCTGGTCGAAGGGACGTCGATCATTGCGACCTCGGACGTCGACGCGCCGTACAAACCAACCGACGAGCGGCAACTGAGCGAGCGAGCACCGACCTTGAGTATATATACAGCGCGACGGCGCATGCACTGTCAGCTGTCGAATGTTCGAGAAGGGGGAGAAGCGCAACGGCGCATGCGCGCGCGTCAGCTGCCGATGTTCTCGAAGCGCGACAGCGCATGCGCGCGCGTCAGCTGCCGATGTTCTCGAAGCGTGACGGCGCATGCGCGCTACATTATACAGCTAGCGAATGTTCGTGAAGAGGAGAAGCGCACGCGGTGTGTAGAGGAGGAAGGGTGCACAGATGGTGGAGGAGTGAAGCGCGCGCGGTGTGTAGAGGAGGAAGGGATGCACAGATGGTGGAAGAAGGAGGAGGAAGCTTGCGGACGGCGCCGCACTACAAGCCTCGAGTATGAGATGCTCCGCATCTAAAAGCAATTATTGCGCATATCTGAGGCACCATAACAACACGTCAATATTCTGTATGTGTCTTTTTATTAGAAAAGGTATACGTAAGTAATTTTAAGGACTGTAGCGTTTATCACGCTGCGCTGACCATGAAACGCTTGCACAAAAAGGGAAGTGTTTTCAACGCTTTGCTAAGACGACACGGTGGTGGCACCTACCCGTCGCCTTGCGTTCTACACCTTATCACCCCCGAGACGGGCGCGCACGCCGCGTGCTTCCTTTTCCAAGATAACTGCTAGATAGCGCTCATGTCTCGAGTGGATTAAGGTCCCTAATTGTTTCATCTACGGACCTTAACGTGTGACGCGTCTTGATGCGCTAGTTCGCCTCCGCTGCACGCTCGAGGCACTCTTAACGCAGCGCCTCCAGAATACCATTCACCGTTGTTCTTGCGCAGATCAAATAAACACTTTGTTCGCTCTCTCCAGACGCAAGACTATCGTCTTTCGACGACATTAGCAGTGTGACATGCAGGTATGGGGCCAATTTTTTTTTTCTCTGGGAATCCAGTCAGTTATTGTTAATAACCAGCGGTTATCCTTACTAGGGGCCCTGCCCATTTTTACTTGGTTTCAACTGACATTCTAAACCCCTGTTTGTTCCCTGACCCACTCTGCTCTCTTCTCGTATTTTAAGGTTACACCCATCATTTTCCTCTCCATCACTCGCTGCGTCGACCTCAATTTAAGCTGAACACTCTTTGTAAGCCTCCAGGCTCCTTCTCCGCAGCAAGTTTTTTAAGAAGAATACATATGGATACCCATATTACGACACTAAAATGTATTCTGAACAACCTAAGCGTTTTTACCATTCACACTTTACATTCTAGCGAGCAAATCCGCCGCAAGCTGCCGTACTCGTGGACCAACACGCATGTGCAAAAGCCCCCGGCTCCGTCGCCTTCGCTACACTGCCCAGACCAACAAGAGGTTTTTAGCAAGCTACGGAAATAAGTTACAGAAAGGCGGCAACACGGAACATGAGTGTGCATGCGCGACCATTGTAAGCGCATACGTAAAGGAACCGATGCGTATTTCCGTAACATGTTTCGGTAGCTTGCCAAAAATTCTTAATATTATACTGTTATGGCTTACCGGGATCGAAGTGCGCATTCACAGTAACGAACATGACCCCTACCGCGCACAGAACGCACGCTATGTTTACAGATTAAACGTAAAATGTACGTAAACATGGCGGCGCTTTCGGATGCCCGCTTTGAAGTGATTTTGGCATAGTTGTTGAAAGATTCAATTCGTTCACAGCAAAGACCGTTTTCAATGACTTCGCTTGCCTTCAGTTAGCTTTAATGAACAAGTATTACAAATAATATGGCACAATTTTTTAGATAGCCTCCAATTTCGTACATCTCAAGGCCTAACTAGAAGATAGATGTAAACAAATCGGCAACGTTTTTGCATTTTGTGCGGTGTTCATACTTATTTACTTACGGTGGATGTTCTTCAAAGAGACACAGGCGTGAAACATTAAACCAGTTTTTAGTTCTTTCAGAGCTAATTTTGCCATAGTAGGTTAATTTCTGTTACCAATTCTTCAGCCCACTGAGTGCAAAGGCACACGACTTTTAACTTGCTAATAAAGTTTCTGCAAACTAAAGGTTCATTACAATAGGACAAGTTCAACTTCGTCTTTTTTGAGTGTTTTAGCCACACTGGCTCAATGCAACTTTATAAAACTTTGCATGTTTAGAACTTACAGTCCCTAAGAGCGCATCATAAACAATTTATACGGATAAAAGATTGCGCAAGTGTTAGCAGACTCTCAATAAATAACATCACGGCTAACTGTAGCAGGATTTACATAGAAGCGTCGCCAACTGAATTCAATGTTTGCACATTTTTTTTGTTGAATGAATGTGTTTTCAGAATTGTTAAGCTTTAATCTACAAACGAGAAAAATTTTCTCTTCAGCATCCATTGAAATGCTGCCACAAATGTACTCGAAAAAAAAAAAAAATACAGCACCCTCACAATTCAAGAGAATGCACTGGGTCCAGAAGTATAAAAAAAAATTGCATAATTGACTTTCATGCAAAGACACCTTGCGGGGCCAGCTGGTTGGCATTCATTACGCATACCGCTATAGTGCACCACAGCAAGGCACACACAGCTAGCACTCTACTAACCCCGTGCATCTCTTGTGTCCTTGTAGCGGTGTGCTACATGTATGACGACTTTCATGAACAAAGTGCTATTTGGAAAATGCCCAGAGAGCCACATGACAAACCCCACCATAAAACTCCTGTCCGTCAATGTGTGCCGTACCTGCCACTTTTCACCCAGACATGCTCCTACCCCCTCCCCCATTTTCAGGGATAGAATTTATTGCTAGCAATTATCAAATGGAAGTGTGCACCACACTTTGGCAGCTTTCACAAAGAATAAACACAGGGTAGTAACTGCAGCTAATCTTAGGAAAATCGCTGCTGCCGACCATCAGATAGGAAAATACATGGGTCGAAAATAGTGTTCGCAGTAGCTTGTTACTCTGCTCATTACACTGCTTATCTACTCATGATGTGTCCCGTGTCATGCTACTTTCACTGCTGTACGCATAAATCATACTACGCTACTTACTTGTGCCCTTATTCCTAAGCATAGGTAGCAAACCGGTTATCCTGCACTGGTTAACCTCCCCAATTTTCCTTCCTCACCACTTCACTCTCTTATTTCATGTTTGTGACAAGAGCTGACATTGCTGGACTTAGATTCACAGCAATAAAGGAAAAGCCTCTATTGCACTTAATGTTATTTATTCACAGCTTATGCATCTTCTGCCTTGGTTGTCCTCGTGTAGATGATTTGGCTGTGGTGCTTGACAACCTGTTTGATGAGTCCTGCAAAAATAAAAAATTCACTTAGGCAGGTTCAAAAGCAAAAGTACCAGAATGTGACAAACTACACATAACCATTTTAAGCATTTGAGTGAAATTTAGTGTTCTGGAGTGATACATTTGGCTATAACTCCTGCCACTCGTAGTGGAGCTGCTACATTTTGCAGTTACAAGAGTTTTAGTTAGCTGAGCACTAAGCAGAAACATTGTGTGTCATAAATAAATACCGTTTGTACTCTCGTAATGAACGCCCTTTTTTCCCTAGAAAAATCTGAGCAAAGTTGGGGGTGCATTTATTATGCGTGAAAAATTTTATGAAAACGTTTTCCGGATGCGCTAGAAAATGCGGCAATGCAAAAAAAGGGGGGTTCAGTCACTTAGGCTCTAGCAATTGTGATACGCTTACACTGTTTGGAAACGGCTTCTTAGTTGCACATAACTCATCTTCGGTGGTTGAAGGCGCTATCTTCTCCAACCTGTCTACGCGTCACCCACACACGCCATAAAAGCGTTTTGTGGCTATCTTTTTCCGCAATCATTTGACCGCAACAGATCTGTGATCTGGAGGGCACACAGAAGCTTGCACAACGTCCGCCCCGCTCCTGTTGACATTGTAGCCAGTAATCAAATTGCCGCAAGCTACCACCGAAACATCAAAACAGACCGTCAACAAAATTAACGACAGAATACGACTGCCACCTCACGTTACGCGCAGATAAAAAGCACGAAGAGCAAATTGCAACCAAAGGAAGAATTAGGGGTACTCCCATGGTGTGGAAATAGTCACAATCTTTTCTGGGTGACAAGAGATTTTTTTTTTTCTGGTTTTCAAGAAACCTGCGGCGCAATGGCCATAAATAGCCCTTTGCGACAGCCATGGTGATGGCAAATCCTGTCGCCGTCGCTAAAAAATTGCGTGCATGTGGTTGGGCCTTAAAAAGTTCCTGTATTTGCAGAAAGCGACAAGAGACTATTGGTTGGCACAGGCAGTTTCGTGACCTTCGCTCGCGGTGTGCTCCACACTGTTCGTGAACCCCGCTGTGGCGCATAGACAATTAAGAAAAGACTGGGAATGTGCCGTGCACAGATGGAAAGAAAAACAATACCGTGCGCCGCAGCGGGCAAAGGGAGGGAGCGAGACATGGTGGCTGAAGAGGGTCGGCATAATAATACAAAAACGAAAGAGGTCCAATGGCCACGGAGGCATCAGGTGCCGTTTAGTGGGACTGCAGTGGGTGAATGCAGTGTGTTTAATACGCGGGGAAAGTTGGGGGTGCGTTTATAATAAGAGTGCGTTCATTAGGAGAGTAAATACGGTATGCTTAAACCACAAACATCTATATGGTGTGCAAACATATTAACTTAGACAATGCTGAAAAACACCAATTACGCCATCAAAACAAAACCCCCCACACACACAATAGCAATGAGCCATGAAAGGTGCAACATGTTCATTTTGCAGAGTTACCATCATATGCCGTTGCTTCGACTATTGGCAGTTTCTCCATGAAGCAGTGCAAAACTACAAAATTAAATACCTGAGTGTCACCACATAAGTGTCCCTTGCAGCGATGGAAGCAACATTTTGATTTTTGGAGCAGGAAAAATGGAGCTTTGTAGCAGCCTGGATTGTGTTTGGAGCAAAACATTCCAAATGACCGTGGAGATTGTTGCATCAATCAAGCCTCTCATAAATATTAGAAATTTTTTTTAGTATGTTTCACCTTGCAAAATTCAGTGCCTACGAAGTCCTGGAATGGCGCAAGCGGAAATGAAAAGCATGAGGCCCGCGCAATCATCGTGGCGGCTGCTCCGGCGTACCAACTCCCGTGAACGCCTGCGCGCTCATTGGTGATGCTGGTGTGCTTGAAAATGGTCTACTAGGGCGATTTTTACCACATTCGCTCCCTTTGAGACAGAGTGTGAGCGGACCTTCCTCCCACAGACGAGCCGCGTTACGCCGTTTGCACGCAGCGGTCAACCGCACATTCATATAATCCGCGGTGGCTGGAGAAACCGTTCATATAACACTGAATTACGGCGTAGCTTACATAATGAAGTCTATCCACAACAACCTTAAAGGGGCCCTGAAAGACTTTTTCAATTAACCATAGAATGGGTTCGCTAAAAGAGCTTATTGCTTCACGAATTCAACGGCCCAAACATTTCAATAATCCGCCCATTACGAGTGGAGTTGCAAAGAATTGTCGCACTCTGCAATCGCGTTCTCTTCTCTTGTCCTGGCAAAAACGCTGGAGGCTGAGCAGGGAGGGATAGCAGCGGGCAAAGAAAATATGTCCCATGCACCTCGTGATACAGGGCATTTTTTCTTCGAATACGAGACTTTTTTCGTGTGATCGCATGCGCTCACGCGTGAACAAGTTACGGCGATCTCTGTAATGATTGAGCGGGTCATGTCAAAATCATCCGATGGCTGATGATGGCATTCTATGCGAGATTTTTGAGCGTCTCCTATCCTTTCCCGAGAGAAGAAAAAGCACCTTTTAGCTGACTTTGATAATTTGTGAATTCCAGGCAGCGTGCTGTGCTATAATATTTGGCTCGCATCTTCTCGGAATCCTCTACTACTGATCGGCGAAGTTTTCTGACCATGTCCAACAAGTGTTGCAGGGCCCCTTTAAAATTCATATCGCGAAATTAGCATAAATCGTTATCGTATCATCGATATTCTATCGTACTTTGGCGATCTCCCTTTTCTGCTGAACGCTACAAACGTTGCCCTTGCACTACTTTTGCGTTAAAATCAAGTAAATACAATACTTCTGGGATCCCCAATCAACAGCCAGAATTGAGGTTTTACAGTTGGTGCAAGCACCTATGTAATTGGTGTAAGTCATATAAAGGAAACCTCTGCGACTTCAAGAAATAGAGACAAAGTGAATCAAGCACGGTCACTTAGCAGGTGAACTCACCCTTCTGAAGCAGCTCCTCGAGGGCCTTGCGGGCAAGTGAGCCTCGCACCTTGAGTCGCTCAGAGACAACTGAGGGTGTGATCAGCTTATAGCTGGGCACTTCCTTGAGAAGCTTGTCGTACGTAGCCTTGTCAAACAGCACCAGGTTGTTCAACTTGTCACGCACTTTTCCCTTGGACCACTTCTGCACATTAAAAAAATACCGTGTCAAAGCCGCAATAAATGTATGGTTGTGCAGTGCAAGCAGAGAATAAACTTGACACTGAGCCTACCTGCCAAGTTCAAGGATTCTGAATCTAGGAGATTTTCGCAAATGGGGGGGGGGAGGGGGGGGAAGAGAGGGGCTGAATTTTTTATTTCTTTTTCGACACAAACAAACAAAAATCTCGAGAAACAAGAGGGGGGGTCCTCAATTGCAAGCGCCAACACCAGCGTTGCGGTCATATAGTGGCCGAACACACGAGGGTAGCGTTTTTTACTAAGGTGAAAGTCTCAAAGGATTAACACAACTAGCGACTATTTTCGTCAAAACAACTCCCGCATGTCTTTCAGGGCACACGTGAATGGAGCTTCACTTGATGACCAACTGAATGCCAAGTACGCAGATTTGACAGGAACAACACATGTTACAAGATTTTTTTAGACAAGAACATCAAAACGTTTCTAGCCGTTTTAAAGCCTTTATCGCCTTTAATCTGCTGATCGTGCCGCAGCGGTTTCCCATGTGTTTTAGTTGAGGAAAATGATAGTTCCGTTTAAATTCCACGTGCGCTGGCTGCACATGTGCATTCAAAAACCAAGTAAGTTTTTTTTTTGCTATCTATGATTGCATCTGCCACGGTTTTGTCAGCAGCCTTTGAGGAAAGCAACGTCACTTTGACTGGTCGAGCAATGAACGCACGTGCACTTTTCAACTTCTGTTAGTTACGTCATAGTTTTCGTCCACAGCAGTTCTGACCACAATTCTGACAGTGCAGGTGCTGGCAGTGTGCGTCCTTCAGAAACTTTGAGTACACTAATCTCCGCCTTCGTTCGATGGTTTCAGTACTGAAGCTCATTATACCAGCCGCAATGAGTAAACGTGTTCGGATAATCTGAATTTTGGCTGGACGTTGCGGAATTTGACTAAAATTTCACGAATTCGTATCCGCCCGTTTTGCATCTTTGAGATTTTACTGTAGTTTAGACTCAAATGCCCCCTAAATTTATTGACACTAAAATTTGATGGTTTCGCAGAAAGCTTGGATCGGATTGGGCAGCATTTTTGTCAATGCGGCCACATCATACACAGAAATTTCAATTTCCGGAAGACTTTCCCGACAACCGTAACAACTGGTCGAAATCTAGGACACTTGGCAGGCATGGATATGCTGGAAAAGCTGCTCCCTTGCGACGCAAATATTTACTTTAACACATTTGCCTGCTTGAGAGTGCCACCGGTAGCTGGTTGTTTTAAGTGTAACGATGAACGGTATGGACGATCAAATCACTAAATTGTGCAGCATTGCTTCTGCTGCTCGACAGCTACAGCTCAGAGTAAGCAAAGTTCCCGCACGACCGATTCATCAGATAGAGAGCGACAAGGAAACTACTGCGTACAAGCGGGAATCGGACAGCTGAATGGAGTAACTGTACGCAAGGTACTCTGGGCAACAAGGCACTTCAAAGGCAGACCTTACCCTTATACCTGGCTCCAGCAACATGTGTAGTCTACACAGATCTGGAAGCGTTTCTATATGCCAGAGCCGAGTGCTCCCTTGCGGAGTCAACGTTAGTGCCCAACAGCTCTGCTGCTATTCAGCCTTGTGCGACTTCGTGCAAGCTGAGCTAATTCAATATTGAAACTGAAAATAACGATGTCCTTACGACTCCTCCGATTAAATGTTTCACTGTCACTGTAATGATGTAATCTACCTTTCATAAGGTGCAGGGTTGTTTCGAGAGCTTATCCCTGTCTGTACCATTTGGTAAGGCAAGACGAAGCTTCACTGCACACATTGTGATGTTTTTCGTTTACACGAAGGTTTTGTGTGGTTCTTTGAAAGTTGTTAGTTAGGGGTACCACTCAGCAGGCATCATCAAAATTGGTTATAATGAAATTTTAAAAGCAGTGTCACCCCTTGGCAAAGGGACAGAGTAAGTAATCCTTTATGGCAACGGCTTCTACTGTCAGTTGAGAAAGAACGATTCTGTGAAATGCCTACCCATATGTCCTCAAACAGCCCATACCTCCAATGTTTGTCATAGTTATGTGACATTCCTTCCATGCATATATTCAAAGCAGGGGTGACTGCTACAAAACATTCCATCTTAACTGACTGCTACCGTATGCATCACAATCTGGCAGTCATGCGCCAGTGTGGGGATGCGCTCAAAACATAAGCATACAACAGCCTTTTAAATGCTAACTGTATGATTGGCTCCATTAAATGGCCAACCCCAATTTAAAACAAAGGGGCGTGCTCTGTACACCCATTGCCGTGCTCGGGACCAAGGATGCTGAATGTCGAGATTTTGACATTAGTTATTAATCAGTTGAGCCAATTTTTTTTAGTGCAGCAGTGTGAAAATCATATGAACACATGGTAAATGTGCCTCAAAATATAGTGCTACACCCGAGAGGTGAGGAATGCAGCAAGATCTCATTGAGGTGAACACAGTGTTGCGCGATGTCTGGGCCTGTTGGGGCTGCACAGGGCTCACCACAGGAATTTGTTCGCGCTACTGGCCCACAAGCACGAGATGAACTGGCAGCCACGGCAACTCTGCAGCTATGCTCACATACCCAAGTAAGGAGTGGACACCCATTGCATTAGCAACCATGCATCATTGACGCAAGGCCAAGCTGCAATTCACATACGAAAGCGGACAATTTTCAATAGCTTACCAGTTCATCAGTGCGCGAGGAGTCATGTTTGAAGTACCTGAATTCTTGAACCTGATGCCACTGCAAGACCTAATAGAGGTGCTAACAAACTGCCCCCGATAAAATTAGTGTGGAAGTATGTCCCTATCACGGCTGCAAACAAACAAGCAAGCGTTGATTTTTTTTTTCCATTTTACTTGCCTTCTTCTTGGCCTTGCCTCCGGAGGATCCCTCCTTCTTCTTGGCGGTTCCCTTGGTGTCAGTTTTCTTTTTACTATCCTGTTTGGGCGGCTGAAATGTGCAAGCAGGTCGCCATTAGCTTAGGCAGATGATAAACGAAAAGCCACGCCACAAGCATACATCTGAAACAACGTGCACGAGCTTCAAAAATTGCTTGTGCGGATGCGACGATCGGGGTCCGTCAAAAACACCTGGAAATTGTAGCAAGTGTAGAAAACTTTCCCAGCTGAAAATACTAAACGTTACAATTATCTGCTACACACGCCAACGATGGACTCAAAACGTAAAACAACGTCGTAACGACTAGACCCGAAGATGCAGATTATTAAGGACATTGCTTCCTATCGTCACGATATGCACAGCGCTGCGTGGGGTCACTAAGTTTATTCTGCATATCTCTGGATGTGTGAACACGCGATCGCACTGACAGGCACTTAATTATTACGGCGATTAGCTCAACTGGACGACCCAAAGCGTCTCGCACTTGTACTCGGTGTTCCGGAGCACACCGACAGCATGTTTTAAGCATAGAGAGAGCTATATTGTCTACACCAAACACGCAGGACTGTTAAACAAAGGCATAGGTACCCGTAAGCAAATATCGATGGCTGCATTTATTACACGGCTAGCCTAGTCTGACTTCTCGGCACCGCCGCTTCAGACAAGCGCCGAAACCTAGGCCTTGCATGCAACACGTGTGCCACATAAGCCGACACCGAATATTTCACCACAAAAGCTTAACCGCTATTTACTAATATAGCCCTTATTCTCTCTAAAGAGCTCTGCACAGTGTAAGTAATAGAAATTATTGAAATAAACAAAAATAATGCATGAAAACAGCGAACCAACCATCTTCGGTGTCTAACCGGATCGAATGCCGTGAAAAAAGAGACCTTCGCTCACTGTGAAGAACCCCGTGCCAGCGTAGATAACTCAATGTGGCCAGAGTAAATCTATTAGCAACTAATGTTTCTTAGACATCAAAATCTTTGTCACTTTTAAGTTACTAATAGCTCGAATAACACAAAACTAACTTTATCTTTCATACCGTAATTATTATTGCGGTTGTATTATGACGTGTGCACATTAGCGCAGACGATGTTTTTTGACTGGTACTCAAAAATAACTACCACACAAAAATAACAAAATTAAAAATAAAGCAAATTTTAAACCGCATGTTTTGTTGTTATTATTACAAGAAGGTCTTAAAGCAACAACCTGTTTATTTTTCTTAATTTTTGCAGTATTTAGGCGAGTTTGGCGAGACTACGTATCCACCAAGCAACTCTGTAAAAAACGTCTTTTCTTCAGTTGTAAAGTCCCCGTGTCTTTCTCTCCTGCCAAGCCGAGGGCTAGGTGCGTGTGTCTATTCTCTGCCCATTTCGCGAAATATTCGTTGTGAGTTGAAATACTTTGAACCGTGTCTCTCTCCCAGTGTCAAAAGCGGACAGGGTGTGTATTTTCGATTGGCGTGCTTACGTTGCACGGCTTTAATGAAGTGGCGTTTCAAGTGACACGTTTTGGAACTGTGAAGTCGACCGGCGTGGCCGGATTACTGCCGTGGTTATTTTCCTTATGTTACTTTGCCAATAATACTTAAATAACAGGTTGCTGTTCGAAGCAGTTATTTGCAGAATAATCGCGCTGATGAGCAGCTGTGCTTTAGTGACTCGTGTTGTACTTTCCACGTTCCTGCGGCCATGTAACGATTGTAGGGATATCACTGTCGCAATTGAGCAGCCTGTACAGTAGGAGTAACTTGAGAAAGTCTTTGTAGAAACAATTTTACTGACCGCACTGAAACCGATGTGGTACTTATAGCGATTCTTGAATTGCACATTCAACTTGCACCAAGTATTCATTCACAGCAATCTGTTGCGAGCGGGAAACGTTCATATTTTTTAATAGCATAGGTAAAAGAGATAATGTGCATTGTAACGTCAGCTGTTGTGTACCGCGATTTGCCGTGAACCGTAAAGGGCTGATTTTAGAAAACGCAAACTGCCAGAAGGTTGTCAGCTTTCTGTATCAAAAGAAAAAAAAAGTCTTACCAAACAGTGTCAGTACCTAGCCTGTATTTAACGCTTCACACCTTTATTTTATCGCCATATTCATTAAATGTCTTGCGCCGCAGTTTGTTAGCACCTCTGTTAGGTCTTGCAGTGGCATCAGGTTCGAGAATTCAGATACTCCAAAAATTCGCGCACTGATAAACTGGTAAGCTATTGAAAATTGTCCGCTTTCATATGTGAATCACAGCTTGGCCTTGCGTCAATGATGCATGGTTGCTAATGCAATGGGCGTCAACTTTTTATTTGGGTATGTGAGCATAGCTGCAGAATTATGGTGGCTGCCAGTTCATCTCGTTCATGTGGGCCAGTAGCGCGAACGAATTCCTGTGGTGAGCCCTGTGCAGCCCCAACAGGCCCAGACATCGCGCAACAATAAGTGGTCACCTCAATGAGATCTTGCTGCATTCCTCACCTCTCGGGTGTAGCACTATATTTTGAGGCACATTTACCATGTGTTCTTATGATTGTCACACTGCTGCACTAAAAAAATTGGCTCAACTGATTAATAACTAAGATGTCAAATCTCGACATTTCGGCAACCTTGGTCCCGAGCGCGGCAATGGGTGTACAGGGCACGCGCTTTGTTTTAAATTGGGGTTGGCCATTTAATGGAGCCAGTCATAAAGTTAGCATTTTAAATGCTATTGTATGCTTATGTTTTGAGTGCACCCCCACACTGGGGCAAGACTGCCAGATTGTGATGCATACGGTAGCAGTCAGTTAAGATAAAATGTTTTGTAACAGTCACCCCCTGCTTTGAAAAATATGCATGGAAGGAATGTCACATAATTATGACAAACTTTGGTGGTATGGGCTGTTTGTTAACCAGGGCCATAGCTGACGTCGTGGCACACAGGACATATGAGTAGGCATTTGACAGAGTCGTTCTTTCTCAACATGACAGTAGAAGCCGTTGCCATAAAGGAATACTTACTCTGTTCCTTGGCTAAGGGGGTGACACTGCTTTTAAAATTTCATTATAACCAATCTTGATAATGCCTGCTGAGTGGTACCCCTAACGACTTTCAAGGAACCACACAAAACCTTCGTGTAAACGAAAAACATCAAAATGTGTGCAGTGAAGCTTTGTCTTGCCTTACCAAATGGTACAGACAGAAATAAGCTCGCGAAACAACCCTGCACCTTATGAAAGGTAGCGTACCTTAGCTTGTACAGCCATCTACAGTCTTCACTGGCAAACTCTGTCTAAAACCCTGCCTTGTATTTCAGCAGCTCACATGGCTCAGACATTTGACGTATTTGTGCGGGGCCTTGATGGCCAAACGCTGGTCGTTGACCTGCCTCTTGGTGCGCGGGTTGCCGAGCTCAAGGAGGACTTGAGCGCCCGCCTGGGCCTGCCATGCGACCAGCAGCGCCTGCAGCTCTCCTCAGGCCGACCGCTGGAGGATGACGACACTCTGGAAGCTGGCTGCAGCCTGGACCTGAGCCTGCGCCTGCTCGGTGGTGTGATCGAGCCCAGTTTGCGCATCCTGGCCCAGAAGTACAACTGCGACAAGATGATCTGCCGCAAGTGAGTGATAAGACTGCCTCGATCCAGACCTTTTGTGCGATCACTTGAAGGGCCCCTTGCTCACCAGGTGACACTATGAATTTTAGTTAGACACTGGAAGTCATTGAGCCACTGGTTATGCCAATCCACTGCCACTGGTGAGCATTATGCCAAAAGAACTCTTAATCGGTCTGTTAGAAGCTCAAAGAACCAATGTTTTGAACTGGCACGAAACCAGTACACGAGAAGGCGAGCTTGAAACCCTTGCTACTCTCCCCGTGTAGCTTTCGCAAGCCAAATTCCTTCCCTGCCCTCTTGGGCACGCGAGCGGGGGGGGGGGGATCACACGATGCATATACATTAAACACTTCAAGCTCGTACAAGGTCCCGAACGCGTGATGTGATTAAACCAGCCTGAGCCATGATTGGTGTTGTGTGTGCGTTTTCTGCACTTCATTTCTGCGGGCTATGCCAAACGTGCCCTCGTCGATCACTTGTATTTCAACATATTACTGAGCATGGAAGCTGTAACATTTGTACGGACTCGAGTCTATCAGTACCATCAGGCAGGGCTGCATGACTGTTTAGTTAGACACACGCCAAGTGCAAAAATACGAACACATGCAAACAGGGGGCAGATTAGTCTCGTGTAGTGGTTTGCAGTGTAAACTAACGATAACATGCACACACACTGTTTTATTATTGCTCTCAAGTTTAATTTGTCTATTCATGCCAGAAATTGCATGAAGTACACATGTTCGGTCAAATAATTATCAGTGTTGCGTGCTACTGTGACCTCCGAGCACGGGTGTTATCCTAGAGGAGCGACGTCAAAGCACTACCAACACCGTAGGACCACTCTTTTTCATACATAATCCCCTCGTTCCCCGGGCACAAGCCTGTGAGTAGGACCAGTGGCGTTCAGCTTAACACTTTTGTGGTGCGTAGCGTAAATTTTGGCAGACATTATCCCAAATGCTCCTTGCATGCATTGCACTCATCAGCTCAAAGTTGTCAGAGCTCACTATTGGAATTTATTGCATTATGAATTAAGTTAGCGTGTCACGTTAATGATGCAGCTTATGATGTTCAAATCGTGTCATGGCTGTGTCTTTTGGGTATTTAATGCAGCTGATTTGGGTATTATATGACATTGTATGTAACTGGAAGAGCAAGCAATTTCTAGCCAACGCTGAAGTTTCAATAACCCTCTGCTGCATACTACGCTTAGTTTGGCTCGCCTGTTCGAAGGAGCCTCAACTCCAGATCGGCAGCACTTTGTGACCATGTTCTAAATTGGTTGCAGGGCCTTTTTAAAAGCCCCTCAGTATGTTTGTGCATTGCCCATATATCTCATTGCATAAGAAATACCGTATTTACTTGCATAATCCTCGCACTTTTTTTCTTTTTTTGCGGAAAACCGATGCGAGAATTACGCGGGGAAAACTTTCCACGAAAACGTACAGAGTGAAAAACAAAACGAAGGGACTACAAATCATGTTCTCACACCAGCAACTAACAGCAAGCTTTGAGAAGTACTAATTAAAACTTATCTCAACAATAAAAGCACAGGTTCAACACAAGGCAAGATTTATTTGAGACATAAAAAGTGTAAGCAGATAGTCTAGAATTAGAATACCATACGCAATGCTTGTGGGCGTTGCAGCCGTGGCAGTAGCGTTCGTTGCTCAATAGGAGCCCTCAAAAGGTAAGCGTAGGATGTCAGTATTAGGCTGATAACTATTTAACAAAATCGTCAGCAGTTTCCTTCTGAACAAATAAAGTTTACCATCAATCCCAGTTTTGGGCACACGGGAGCCCCACGCGTCTTGGTGGCTATTAGGTGCAGTCACCAGTAGCGAACACAAAACTCGTATGCTCCGAAAGGCCTCCTGGCAGCCCTGTTGCCGTTGTTTAAATCATAATCTATCAGTTTCAACTTGAAAGCAGCCATGTCGCTTCAGTATTACCCCATAACATGACAAGATTATCGACACAACATACAACACACGCCGCAACGCGCACTTGCCTTTTTGTCTTGGCTTAGAATGGATTGAATCTCCGTGCAATAATAGTACACTTGATGCTTAGGAGATGGCGTCAGATGGCGTGTAATATCATCATCAGTGGCTGGAAAGAGCAGACATTATTGCGGCTGTTTTCGGGGGTGCGGTAATTACTCGAGGGGGGAAAAACGTATTTTCGGTGGGCGATGTGGGGGGTGCGAGAATTATGCGAGTGCAAGGATTATACGAGTTAATAAGGTATTGGAAATTTGTTTCGCTTCTCTCAAGGGAGTCCCGCATAAATCCAATGTCTTGCTCAAATGCACAAATGTCTCGTTGTAAGATGCAGTAGCTGCATTTTCACTATTTTAGCTTGTGACCGTTGCAATATCAGGCATTGCAATGCAACCACTGCTGGTTAACTTTAGAATAGATGCTGATTGAATTCAATAAGTATTATGAAGGGGCGAAGTGAACCACTCAAAATGCTCTCTGCTGGAGGGAGCCAGGGCTTGTAATGTAGGCCCTTATGAGGAGACGCAAGGCCATTATTTGGCTCTGGTGTTGCCTAGAGTGAAGAGTTCTGTAAGGTTGTTGTTTTGAGGCTCATAGTGAGAGCATCTGCATCGGAACTAAAGCTGGCCTCGGAGCTACATCTTGGCACAAAATATCACGTCTATGCGATTGCACTCCCAGAATGATGCCGACCAAAATTTGATTGTGCACTTACCATCATGAGGGACTCTTGCGTGATCTACCGAGACAGTCGATGTAGATGATGTGATGTGTGTCTGGCAGCTTGTAAATTGCTGAGAATAGCGGTAGTCACAAGAAATAAAAAAAGCCCTAACTTAACCCATTTAGGAATGGTCTGTCATGTAATAAATTTTGACAAAATTTCTTTTATCTCAATGCTATCAAAAAGTGCACCTCATATATTTACCTGGACATTTTCCTTTGGCGATCAGTCAAAGAAGCTATTGTCCTGGACTTTTTTTTTCATGAAAGAAACAAGAACTTATTTTCATGTTTATACATTTCGATTTGTAAATGAAAATGCTCCACTGATCCTGTTTGTTAGTAGCAGTCTTCTACTTGTGATATGCAGTGGAACCTTCATGATGTTTCAGTGTTTCGCAAAGGCCCGCACTCTACCACGTATTGGTTTGGGCACAGCTAAATCCCATTAAATAGCGAATTCGAAACCCCATTCATACTATGCAAATATCTGCCAACACTGCATCATAAGGCCATTGAGATGTCGTCCGAGAAAAAAAAATTCATTTCACCTAAATCTAACACCTTCCTAATATTCACGGAGGCTAGAGAAAAGGTTACATGGCTCTCGGTTGACAATGGGTCATTCTACACACTGATAAACGCACTATAGAACGTGAAAGACACCACGCCAATTTTATCGAAAAACTGAGTTCTGGGGACGGCCGCTACCTATAAAGAAAAGCAGTACTTCCGACATGTCCACGCCAAGGTTCCTATTTTTCCTGATTGAAGGAAAGTTTCCTATTTTTTTTCTTGCTTTGTCAGTTGCATTCTTTGTTTTGTAGCATAATAGCAAAAGAGCCCAAACTGAAAAACAAAATACTCCTGTCACATTTGGCAACTCAAGTGTACCTTTAGTGAGTCTACTTACCCTCACAAACTGTCATTTTGGCACTTTGCTGTTACACAAGCAAGCTAAGTGTACTTTGGAAATGATGACAGTGGCAATTGGCAGATTTGTAGCGCAACATATATGTATTTGTTATTGTTGTTTTTTGCACCTGTCTCTCATTGTTTGATCATGTCTTCATGATGAAGGCACACGTCATCGCAAATGACTAGTGACTCATCTACGTATGTGCAAATCTGCCTGGAAGTAAACAACACGATGGACGCTGCCACTGCACAGCATGTGCTGCCTCATGCCTATAGCAGACGTGGCCACAAACTGCCTGAAGGTGGGAGTAGAGAGTTTTTTTTTTTTTTTGTAATGTGATTTGTTTTGATACATGGTATTATAGTATGAGTGCCTCTTCGGCAACAGCATATTTCTGCGCAGGCCACTGGTACCGAGGCTACACATTTTCTCGCAGCAAAACGAGGTTGGGGAATACACTTGCTGGCAAGTGTACTTTGCAGGGAGAGACACTAAGTTTTATCGTTGACGCTTTGCCAGTGACACTCACGGCAAAGTGTACACGCTCAAGGTGCACTTAAATTGCCACGTGTGACAGAGGTATAACACCAAAAGCGCATGTTCTTTTTTCAAGTCTTGGTAACTAGATTTGCTTGCCATTGCATTAAAAAAGAAAGAGGAAACGAAAGCATTGACAGCATGGCAGCTTAGTTATGAAGGCAAGTGGCAATGTGAAAGCACCAGGAGGAGGAGGAATAAAATTTATTATAAGAAACCAGCTGGTTTAGGTGGCTGGGCCTAAGCCTCTCATGAGCGGACGTCAAGGGCTTGTCTCGACGCTGCCTCACAGGCGTGTCGGGTCGCATAGGTTTGGTCGTAAAGAGCGAGGCTCCGCAGAGTCTTATGGAGCTTCTACGAAAGGGTCATGCTGTGGGATTGCCCGGCACTCCACAGACACACTAACGCTACGACCCTTTCGTCGAAGCTCCATGAGAGCACCAGAATCAGCTAATTTTATGCAAGTGCTACTGGTGTTAATCTTGCGTGTGGGGTCTTTACGGGAAGGACAAATGTTAGGTCATATGTGTATGTCAGACTATGTCCTGGAGTTTTCATGTCCATATTAACATCACTCTGCAGGTGCTACGCCCGGCTGCACCCGAAGGCCACAAACTGCCGCAAGCGCAAGTGTGGCCACTCCAACAACCTGCGTCCCAAGAAGAAGCTGAAGTAGACTGTATGCTTAAGCACAATGTGTTTGTGGTTACCGGAGCAGGAATAAAAGCCCATATGAATTCGAGTGTCCTTGCTTGCATCCTAGCACATATGTTGCACAAGTTTTTAGACGCTGCAAATATGGGCTTTGTTAAGCATATGCTGCCTGCATGAAATCAAGCAGCTGTTAACATGATTGATAGTCGTTTGACCCACAGAGTTTCGTATAAATACACTAAAAAGAACTTTGGTGCTAGCTATGGGAGCAGCAATGCATGGGAATGATGGGTAGTAGTACATGGAATTGACTAGTTTTCATACTTTATGCTCTGTTTGACTTGGGTGGCTGGAGCCGCTGTCTCACGAAACAACAAACGTTCAGCAATCGTACTTTACCACCTTATAAGCTATATAAATCGTGCCGCAAAGTTCGAAGCGGATTGTTATTTTATTCGAAACAATTCAGAAAATGAAGCAACGACTGCATTCGAAGCCTGCAAGCAGTAAGTATCTTCTAATGCATGTACTACCCATTATTACCGTGGTTGCTGAACGATTGCAGCGCCCCTCTAGTTAACTTTGGGGAGCTATGGTGTTGCCGCCCTCCTGTGGTAATGTAGTGGCCGAGATGCTATGCTCTTAGTGTGTCCATACAAAGTGTTATTAAAAACCACTTCCGTAATGCATGGTTAACTATTCCAAAAAAGGGATCGAACTGGTATAATTCCTAGACTAAAGCTGGCTGATGCCATTTGAGGTCCGAGAACAATGTAACTGTGCCTTGAGGGAGCCACATTTCTAAATAGGAGTTGCGGTCGAGGCATGAAGTTCTTGTACTGCACAAGGTTTATACTAGTACATAATAGGATGTTAACATTTTGTGAGGGGGGGGGGGGCAGCACCCCTGTTGTTCCCATAATTGATGCCTTCGAGCCAATATGTAGTGGCCAGCACTACAATGAAGACGAGACAAAACCTACTGTATGCACAGCCAAATCACTAAAGCATTGAGCTGAGATAAAAATAATAGAATAAACACATCGGGTGTAGATAGGTTTTCTACGTACATAAACAATTGACAATGTGTGCACTAAATTTACTGAATAACCTTGGCAGCACAATAACAGGTCAATTCACATACTGTACTTTGATAATTATTGAGAAAAAAAAGAATATCAAAAGAGCAAACAATGTCGGCAAAAGAGAGAGAAAAGACGGCAGACAAAATATGATGAGAATTGAAAGGTGACTGCAAAAAGAGAAGACCAGAAAAAGTATACTTAAGTACGTAGAAGTTCCTACCAAAAAAAAAAAAAGATGTGGAATAATGTGATTATACAATAAGTATATGTGTGCGTACAAAATATATGTATTGTAATGTACAGTGCCAATTTTTATGAAAGGGAGCACATGGCCTGCGCGCTCCGGCGGCTGCTGGCAGCGAGTTCAAGCGGTAGCGAGAGAGGACGCAAAAAGAGGCTGTGGTTACTTTCGCTCCCGCGGAGGAGCACGCCGAGGAACTTTAGAAGCCGCCGATGCGTGCAGCCCCCACACTTCCGTGTTCCCGTTCATAAAAATTGGCACTGTACATTACACAGAACATATATAAGTATGTTTATGTAAGCGTGTGTATATATATGTAATGTAAGAAGGTAGGGATGGTTAGGCAGAGAAGGAAGAAGAGCAGAATAGAATAAACATGGGGTATGAGCCAGGCCACGTCGCCCAGTCCTCATAGCGTCTCACAAGTCGACAGGATGAAGACCTGACCACCACTCATCAACCTCACATCATTCACGAAGCCACCTGCAGTACGCCTCAACTGAATATCGACCACAGAAGACGTGATCTCAGGCACATTCAGTTACCGGCACCATGACAGAACCATCGCCTGACCTCGACATCCCCAAGTACACCGGATCAGCGGACGACGGACTCGTACAGGACTGGTTCAACCTATTCGAGCTCCACGCCGCCGCTGCATCCTGGTCGGAGCGGGAGATGATCATCAACTTCACTGACTACATTTCCTGTGAGGCATTTAAGTTTTACCTCACCCACATCTTTGAAAATGACGAATCATGGCGAAAAATCAAAGAGGAGATGATTTTAATGACTGTGACCAAGACCTACTCATTGCCAACCATCTAGAGACAACCGCACACTATTGTCAATTCCTTAAGCAGTCCTCAATCATTCGAAAGCCCAGCGCGAATCGACAACTGCCTCAAGACAAAGTGGCACATGAGTTTACTTACAGAAGGCCATGCGTGTATTGGGAAAAACCTAACCGTCAAGCGCGCATCCCTTCTGCGCAAAAGTCAGCATTTCCGAAGTCATCGCTTCAACATACGACACGAGACGTCGCTCACCCTACTGATGCCTTTCATGCGTCGTCTCGCATACATGGTCCACCACCTGGTTTTCTACGACGCAGCTCTTCAAAGGCTCCTAACGGTCACTATTCGTGTCATAAGGACACGTTGTTCATGGTAGACAAGCTGACACATGAGGAAAATGCCGAACAATGCCATGACGACTCAAAGAGTGAAAATCAGTCTTCACACATTGGATCAGCTTATTTTCCATCTAGCACAATTGGGCTACCTCCTGGTTTTCCGCCACTTGGCTCTTCCGTCGCTCACAACACCCACCTCACATCTAGCACGCTCACAATGGTCGGGATAGAGCTGCGGAGAATACTCAGCCAAGCCCTGAACCTACCATCCAGATTCAGGAGCAAGAACCACTCGCAGCGAACAGCGAAGAAGAAGCCCCTAGAGACTACTACCTGCCCACTCGACGCTATGATGACTGGGCGACGTGGCCTGGCTCATACCCCATGTTTATTCTATTCTGCTCTTCTTCCTTCTCTGCCTCTACCTAACCATCGCTACCTTCTTACGTTACATATATATATAGGGAAGCCAAGGAAGATGGAGGATTCGGCATGGAAGATTAAAACCAAGATAAAGATAAAGAAAAAAAAACGAGCTTACAATTGTATTTGTAAGTCAAGACCGAGTCTGAATATTTATTTGTGTATTGTGTCATATGCTTTTGCACAATATGTCACTGACTTCCTCGCTAGTTGCCTTGGAGATGGTTGCCAAATAGTGGTGGGGCTCTCTCGCAGCGCCATGACTGTGCAGTACACGCAGCATGCATGTAGAATAGCAGCGAAAGCTGGAGGAGCGGTCTTTATAGAGCCCGTTGTGTTGGGATGACTAATATAATGTACCTATTACGCCATAAATAATAATTTGGCAGGGAAGTACTGACTACGCCATATTCATCATTCTGCGGAGAAGAGAGGTACTATATAGCTACACGTTTTTGAGACATATGGTGTGCGCATTGTTGATGCGGTGGCTGATGATGACACTCCGACAGTAACATGTGGAGTGGCTGACTGCGGTCGTGCACGTCCTATCATGACAGGGACACGACCTCCTTGATTAGCTCCGACAGCACGCAGCATAACATTTCAATTTATAGCTGTAGCACACATTGATTCTCCCTTGTTGCGATATTGACTTTTTTTCTCCTTTCATGAATCCATCGGCATGGACAATTATAGGTACACAGCCTGTCAGTGGCCCGCACGTGGTGGAGTGACCATCATCGCAATCATCGTCAGCATCAGTCACGCGGTGCGCATGAGCTCGCGGCAGCTTGAGCACGAGGCAGAAGAAGAAGAGACAGCCTGCAAGACAGCATAAGAACATAATAGCAAAGACAGCAAAGAACATAATAGCCACAGACGCTTCTGTGAATAAAGAAAAGGCAGCAGTAGGAATCGTCTCAGATTACCTCGGTTGGTCATTCTCGGTAAGACTACCAGACTTCACTCCGGTTTTCGAAGCTGAGCTCCTGGCTATTATTTTAGCGCTACGAAAACTTCCTTCAAACGAAGAGAGTGCAATGATAATTACTGATTCTCTTTCGCTGTGTACTACTCTCACAGCTTCAGAACAATCAAGAGCTCTAGCGACATTACAAACATTAGTTCCACCTCATGTGAAGTTCCTGAAGTTAGTCTGGGTCCCGGGACACTGTGGCATACGGTTGAATGAAATAGCCGATTCACTATCTCGAGCCACACTTGATGGCCCTGTGATCTCGGTACTACCAGAATCGGAACACATAGTGTCGATCAGATATAGAAAATGGGCTATTTATACGGATATTATGGAAAATATTACTAAATATACGGACTATCAGCACCTAACATACCCCTGGAAACCTCAGTGGAGTCAATCTAAAAAGTTAGAAGTTATTTTAACCAAATTTCGATGTCGTGTCCCTCCATTAAACTTTTACTTGCACAGAGCTGGTCTGGCGATATCCCCCCTGTGTCCATTCTGTGAAGAAACGGAAACAATAGAGCATTACTTTATAACATGTAAAAACTATTCATTAATTAGGAAAAGACTTTTAATTGTTCCGTTTCAAGCAGTAGGTTTAAATTTAACTGCAGATAATGTTCTAAGTTTCGGTGCCTTTAGCTTGGGACATTGCCACAGGAGCGTATTCGATGCTGTATGCAATTTCATTCGAGAATCAAAGCGCATGTCATAATAATGCCTGCTTAAATATATTTCTGAAGACACTTGTCTAATTTTGAATGAAATTTGCATATTCATTTGATTGTGACCGGGTGAGATAAGCTCGATTGTCTGGTCTACTCAAAATTTCTGTCTTCCACTGTAGTATTACCTCACCTTTTCTCTTCTTGATTCAATCTTCAATTATTTGTTTAGTTTAATATTCCTTTTTAGTTAATTATTATTTTCTATTACATCATTAGTTTTTTCATTAAGGATAAACCTTTTAATATATCTCATATAGGATACTTCTAGATTTCATGGCCAATCCCCCATAGTGGGTATGTGCCAGTGCGAAGGGGCAACAACAACAACAACGACAGCCTGCCTTGATCTAGCACCGAAGGCTCGTCGCACTGGTCCCAGCACGCTTGCTTGCTCTGGGGGTTTGGCTGAAATCTGAGTAGCCTCTACTGAATTTCTTCTTGGATAGGCGTATCTAAAGCCTTAGCATTGATTAGCTAGTACCCTTCTGGCT